TGTAGCAAAGCAACACAGCGGATAGATCACAGTCACCTGGGTGGTATTTGTTTGCTGCAAAGAGATAAATAATGCATCACACCTATCTGTTTTCCACTTGGTGCCTTTAATATGAGGAATGACAGAGGCTTTCTGTGGTCCGGCACAGAAAGTCAAGCTGCCTGCTTCTCCTGAGCTCAGAGCCCTGCTGATTCTGCTGTACTCACAAGGGGAGGCATGAGGATGGCCCTTGCTCCTGTACCACAGCCATACCAAAAAGGAAAGCAGACAGTAGGCACAGTGGCCAGACATATACTATTTGAGCCTCTGGCCAGACACATATTATTTGAGCCTCTGGGCTGCCAAGCAGACTTTCTTGGAACCAGACTAGAGAGAGATGGGACCCTGGGGACAGTTTCCTCTTTTTGTTTTTTTTTTTATTCTAGAGTTTAGGTCAGCTGTTCTGAATACTGTCTTGTTGCTAGGAACACAAGTCTTCCATGTGGTCCTCCTCTGCTCGCTACAGCCTACATATTCTTGCTGAGTGCTGCTTGTCCCACTTGTATCTAACATCCTACTTTTGACCCCTGAGGAAGCTGGCTTGGGACTGCTTCACTGTCAGAGCCCTCATCTATGTCCATTTATCTGTCTCCCCATTCTAACTGTCCTTGGTCCCTTTATTCCAAAGATGCCTTGTGCACAGTGAAATGATGTTATGTGCTTATCAAAGTTGTCTCAAGTGCTTTTTGAAACATTATGGTGTGATTTTAACATTTCAGAATGTCCGTGCAAGAAGACCTCAGGAGACCTCAGGTCTTCCACTCTTCTCTCTTCCCTACTGACCCCTGATATGCAGGCAGCCAGCCCCTGACTGGTCCTTTCCATGAAGGGATCTCTCTGCTCTCTAAATCAGTTCATCTCACCTTGGCTTCTGATCATGATGAATCTCTCTGGTGGAGCCTAAAGCCACCTTTCTGAAGTCTCCATCCATCTAATATAAGTTCTTATTCTAGTAACCCTTGCCCACCCCCACAAGCCTTTTAAAATCTCCTGGGGTCCCTCACCCAGCATGTGCTCCCCCCAGAGAGTTGTCTGATAGTGCTATTACACAAGGAGAGATCTTTACTCTCCCAGATCAACATTCCTGTTCCAAAGGTTATGGCTTTGAATGTGGCTCAGCGGCTAAAATGTTTGTTGTGGAAGCAAGAGAATCAGAGCGAGGGTGGGTCCCCAGAATCCAAGTAAATGTGGGAGAGCATGATAGCCTGCCTGTAATTCCAGCCTCAGAAGGCAGGGATGAAGGCCTTGCCATTCATGTGTGTGTGTGTGTGTGTGTGTGTGTGTGTGTGTGTGTGTGTGTGTGTGTGTGTGTGTATGTGCTTCCTATTGCATAAAATGATTGAATCCCTGTTAAAGACCTTGATCAAAATCAACCTGGCTTATACACTTCCACATCAGTCAATAGGAAAGGAAGTCAGGGCAGAAATCTGGGGCAGGAACTGAAGCAGAGCCTGTGGAGGGATACTACTTTCTGGCTTGCTTATCATTGCTTACTCAGATTGCTTTCTTATACAACCCAGAAACACCTTCCCTGGGGTGCCACACCTGAAGTAGGCTGGGCCCTCCTCCATCAACCATTCATCAAGAAAACAACCTACAACTTGCCTACAGCCAAGTCTGATGGAGGCATCTTCTCAATTGAGGTCCCTCATCCTGGGCCAGGCATAGTGACCCACACCTTTAATCCCAGTACTTGGAGGCAGAGTCTGGTGGATCTCTGTGAGTCTGAGGACAGCCTGGTCTACCATAGGGACTTCCAGGAAAGCCAAGGTTACATAGTGAGACCCTGTCTCAAAAATTACTTACTTAGTTACTCAATTAATTTAAAAAATAAAAAAGAATATCCTTCTTCCTAGATGACTCTAGTTTGTGTCAAGTTGACAACAAAACAAAAGCTAATGCTAACTATCACACCATATCAGTGAGCTCTGAGTTTGATTGAGAGACTCACCCTCAAAGATAGACCCAGGAAGACTACCTAAATTCCTTGGCTCAACCTTGGGCTTCTACACACATGTGCATGCATGCACACGTGCGCGCATGCGTGTGCACACACACACACACACACACCAAAAATCTTTATTGTTACAAGAACACTGAGGACACCCACCCCCTTGGCTCTGTAAGCATGTAATACAGTGTTATTAACTAGAGGAGCAGTGTTGTACAGAGAGCTCATAACTGAGATTTCATGTCTATTGATTACCAACTCCCCCTTTTTCCATCCTCCCAGACCTGGCAACCACTTTAATGCAATAGGTTGTACTACTTGAGTTACCTCTTATAAGGGGAATCATGTAGCCTTTGTCCTTCTGAGCCTGGCTTCCTTCATGGGGCCATAATGTCCTCAAGGGCCTCCTGTTGTCACAAGTTGCAGGGTTTCTGTCCTCTTTAAGGAATTTGAATGACTAAGTCATGTTTACAGAAGAAATGCACCCCTCCCAGGGCATTATCAGAGTCTGGCTTTTCTCTAGCTTGGGAGGGGAGAATGAGGTTACCCCGTCTTTATTTTTCTGGTTATTATTTTCATCTGGCTTCATCACCCTGATAAACTAGGAGTAATCAGGAATTTTAGGCCTTGTCTGCTCAGCTCTCCAACCTTCCTCAAGGTACCTGTGCCCCTGGTATTTTTATCCCCAGGGTAGAAAATTACAACTTTCCCAACTGAGTCTCCTTTTTCTCAGCCTGTGAATCCAGTCTCCAGAGGGATTTCTGAATCCTGATTAGTAACCAGAACGTCCCCCCTGGCTTTCCCAGTTTACTCTGAATTGATATGACAAGATTGATGGCTGTGTCCACATCCAAAGCTCTGGTAGAGGCACTGACAGAAATGACATGTGCCATAGAGCACTGGAGGAAGCCACCAGGCATCTCTGTGGAACCATAGTGTTCCACTTGGTCCTGACTTACCACCTGAGAATCATCCAAGACCCTTGCTAAAATACAGATTTCTGACTTCTCAGAAATACAGAATGAAAGGAAATGGGGCCCAGGAGTCTATGTTTCAATGCACAGACAGGTGTGGTGACATGAGCTCCAGAGTTCAGAATTCAAAAGCTTAAGCAAGTCTAGTTTGATCTGACCAAAGTCAAGGTGCACTGTGGAATATGGGCCAGTGGGATGCATCTAGAACATTGGCAGGGTGTTTTACAGATTGGGCCACCTGCCAAGGCCACACTGGCTCTCCGTACCAGCTCCAGACCCTACTCTATCCTCTCCACTCGGCCTCATTACCCATTTACATCCATCCCCCTGGATCTTTGTCCTTGCTTCAAACATCAGTTTCAGTTCCTGTATTTGGAAGCAGGTTTGCGTTCCTCTACCCGACCCTTGATGTCTCAGAGGGCTCTGTGTGGCTACTGGTTTGCAGCATCACTCTCAGCTTCTGCTAAGACCTCCTCAGCCTTGCTGCATTCCAACAAGCAACAACTCTCTGATATGGATTTGTCTTCAGTTGGGCCTTGCTTCTCCCTTTCTAGCTTTATAAGGACAGGACTTTAACCAGATTCATATCCAACCCACAGGAGTTTCAATTCAAGATGGCTACATTACCAGCAGGTGATGTGCCAGGATGGTACACAGCAGGTGCCTACTAAATTTCTCTCTTAGAGAACAGGATGCTTAAGTCTGACTCAGTGACTGGAGATAAGGAAAATGCTGCAGGCTTCTGAGCCAGACAGAGATTCACATGAATCTCAGCTTGCTGCCTTCAGTGCATGGCCTTAGGTGAGCTAATTAACCTTTATGAACTGCAAGCATCTTGACTATAAATTAGAACTGTGGGCTGGTATCTGAAGGCTTGCTACCTCTCCGACTTCACAATTCTCTGAAGCAGTCCTCCCCTGACTGTCTGGTACCCTACTTTGAGGTCCCCAGAAGGCAAAGCCACTGCAGTCAAGTCTCCCAGCACTTCATGGCACTGTGTCTGCAGATCCTTCAGGAGCACAGTCACTCCATAGCACTTTCCAGCCCCAATTCATCAGGCAATGCTATCATTAATTCGGCAGCACTCTGCCACTCATGGAAGTAAGTAATCACTCTGGCTTCTGGCCGTGAATTCTTTTCATCCACTTTTGTTTATCACTGTTGAAGGATTTTTTAATCAAAACAATTAAATATGCTAAATCTTCCTCAATTAGTTATGCATTAAAAATTAAAAGTGCTTCCGTGGAAATCGCAGAAGAAGCCCTTTACTTGGCGCTAAGTGGGCTGCTCAGAGCACCTCCTCCAGGCACTCACTTTCAGCTCTAGAGGTGTGCAGAAACTGATATTTACAGTGTCACAGGGGGCTTCAGCTGATACACACTTAGGGAAGAACAATCCCTTCTTTCCATAAATGAGAAACTGGGGCCAGCGGGCTCGTGGCCCTTTGCAGAGTTCACAGAGGATGGCAAGGACTGGGATGTGACATGGTTAGCTTTCTCCCATTTGCTTCCCACAAGATCATGACATTCACGTACTCACTTATTTCTTTCATTTATTGGTCATTTATTCTGAACTGATGACCAAACTTGTGCATAAAAAGAACAGTGACAAGTGAAGAGACTAAGGATTTCTGTTCCTGAAGTAAATACTGTTTGAACAGGAGATGGGTACACTTCAGAAAAGGTGACATGGGAGGGAAGAAAGCACTTACATTGAGGGATATAAGTTCCGGTGAGAACTGAGGTGAAGAGCAGGACTGAAGGGAGATGCATGCGCTGGAACCATCACTTCAAGGAGAATCAGGAGAATGGCAAAAAAAAGGACGAGATTCTAGAGCAACTTAATACACAGCACCTGGCCTGCCTCATTTCTTCAGGCATTTTGATGGCCATCCCACATGAGAGAATAGTGAAGATTTCAAGCCAGTCCTCTCTGCCTCTAAAGACGGAGCAAACTTTCCCTAGCCTGAACTAGTTGAACCATGTGAAGCTGTCTTTTCAAATCTGAGTACTTGATTTTCTGTCTCCCCACTGCAGGTATTACCACAAAAGACATTGAAAATTGCATCGGAGGTTCCGTGGGCCTGGCAATAGGGGATACTTTAATCGTTGAAGGAGATTTATCAGGACTTAAGTCTTGTGAGAGGTCTGGAGATGCTAACAGTGGCAAGTATTTATCAGTGGGTCTCCCCCAAAGAGAAGCCAGCCTTCCCTGGGGACACTCAATCCATGCAAATGATTCTCTTCCTCAGCTGATTCCATTTCTCTTGGTAGTCACACTACAGATACTAAGTATCCCCAAACCATGACCAGTGTATAATGTCTCTGTTTTGGGTTCACCTGCTTGCACTAAAGCCATCTAAAAAATACTCAACAGTCTAAGGATCCTTGCCAGATTCCAAGGGTTAGGCAAAGACCCTAGAAAGGTATGGGGTGAAAAGAGATGTGCAGATAGGATCAGTTATCATCTCATCAGGAATGGTGCAGAGGGAGGAGACAAGTCTCTCAGGAGGAAAGATTATGACTCTGAAGTTCAAGCTCAAGGAATGATGACCAGTGAAAGGATGTACATGGATGGTTAACACTTCTTGAACATGTCAGTGTGGGTGTTTATACATCCATTCATTCACTCACCTATCAAATATAAATCGAGTTCTTTTCAGGTGAGGGACAGAGAACTAAAGGAGTATCAAATCAGCTTATAATGTAGCAGGCAAAGTACATACTAAATAGGTTAAAGTTATAGCTTAATTGCTTAGGTTATTTATGCCTTGGCTATTAAGTCAAATTACCCCATTTCTGATGACCCCTCAGCTTCTGTACTTGACCTAGCAAACACTTTGTAACCAAATCATTTTCCTTCCTGACTAGCCCATCTGGGTGCTTCCTTCTCAGTGTCTGCACTGAGTACTACAGTGACATCTGTCACAGCATTTACAATATTTGGTATGGAGAGAGAGCAAGAGCAACGGAGAGGAGAGAGGGAGAAAGGGAGAGAGAGAGATAGAGGAGAAAGAGAACAAGCAGACACTGGCTAAACCCCTGATCCATGAATGAATGAGTGGATGAATAACCATTGACCTTCCCAGTCACTCATCTTCCACGTTGGATTGGGTTGGCTTCTCCATGTCTGCTCCACTCAGAGGATATGCAGGTTCTTTCTATCCCGTCCTGCTTGTTATCAGGTATAGAAGAAGAATGGGCCTAGCTCTAAAGAGAGCAGATGAACACTCCTAAAAATCTTATCAGTAGAACTCACGACCCTGTCCTTTGGTTTGGGGAGAGGAAAGCTAACACTGCCTTTCTCTTGATAGAAACAAACAATACCAGCTCAGGAGTAGAGGACATCATCTCTCGGGTGCGAGGTGGCAGTTCTGACTGGGGCAGTGACTTGACACACAAAAGCAGTACCATTACATACCGGTCCTGGGGGAGATCATTAAAGTATAGCCCTGTTGTTATCGATTTTGAGGTAAGTCTTTTCGCAGTTGAAGAAACCCTACGTCTATAAGGAATGAAAGTGAAGCCGACCAGATCATTTCATATTTCTTATTATGAGCCCATCAAGGAACAAGATTAAATGTAACGGCACACTGAACTGGTGCCCTTACCCAAACCTGCCTGGAGGGAAGATGTGACATTAGACCAGACCCATAGGACAGCTGGGGTCAGAAACTTACTGTCTATTCAGGGTCCAGGTGCCCACTGCTATCTCAGAAACTCTGCAGGGTTAGATGTGAAATGCTAACTTGCATTTTTGCACAAACTAATTTAAAAATCACATCTAGTACATTAGGGGGTTATAAACTTTATTTAAAAAACTGTACTTTATGAATAGCAATACAACTTACATGTTAACACTATAATAGAATGATTGGATATAGTTTTAAAGAGAAGAAAAGAGAAGATTTCAAGTTGTAGCACTCCTCCACCAGAACAAACCTGAAAAAAAAAAGCATTTTTATAAGTATGTCAATGTGACAAACATATTCAATAACTAGTCATGTTTAATTCCTATTGTGTTCATGGTCAGTTGAATGCAAAAGAACACCCAGCTCTCACAATTGCTCCCTCAAAGGAAGAAGGAATGGTGGGTTCTACTGCAATACAAGAATGATTCTGGCTACTTCAATACATGGAGACTTGAATCCACACATCCACCATGAAAATTAGATAAAACTTAGCTTTATATCCCCTTAACTACCTATGTGTCCTTTCTCGTCACCTAGTATTATTTTCTCTTGTTTCCCTTTCTAAGTAGTTGTACTTCAGCCATATTCACAGCTATGGCTAGGATCTGCCTGTGAGGGAGAACATGCTTTTTGGGAGGGGTCACCTCCCTGAATATTATGATTTCCACATACATCTATAGCCCTGTAAATTTAATTTTTAACAGCTAAATAATATTCCCTTGTTCAGAGTACCATGCTTTCATGGCAGGCAATGAATATTGGACAGATTAGGAATCAGGTCCAGAAAAACTAAATAGTTTAAATTGCTATATGAGTTGCTAGGAAGTGTCTATGTGACAGTGACTAGATTTCAGGCTCCTGGTCTGTGTGTTCAGTTCTCATTTGCCCCTGTCCTAGCACCTTTCTTCAAACACTGATTCTTAGTTGGACTGTGGATGTGTATGCCTTTAATTCTAGTGCTCAGGAGGCAGAGGCAGAGGTTGGTGGATCTCTGTGAGTTTGAGACCAACCTGGTCTACAGAGCAAGTTCCAGGACAGCCAAAGCTAGACAAAGAAACTCCATCTTGAAGAAAAAAAAAAGATTACAAAGCACTGATTCTTAGCCATGGGGTAGGGCGGTTTTGTTGTTCAGAGAAAATATGGCTTATGTGCCAGGTCAATGCTAGGCAATGTGACAAGGTCAGTATTCTGGGGACTTAGAGGAAGAAACCAGAAATCCTGCTAAACAACCTACACACAGGGCACACACCAGCTCCCCAGATAAGAATCCTCTGGCCTGACATATCAACAAAGTAAAAAAAAAAAAAATCTGGCTTTGTTTCTATCCTTACAAACTGGATTACACTAAATGTCAAGACAGTCCTTTCAAGTCCTTACAAGTTATTTTAAACTTGTAAGAAAAGTATTATTGTTGTCCCAACTATTATCTCCCGATCTGTGCCCATTTTCTACATGTATTTAAACATATAAATATTATGTCTGTAAACCAATAGATACTTCTAAGACGCCACACCAGTTAAACCTAAAACTCTATTTTAACACCCTACTTTCGATGAAGACAAAAGGTCAGATAGATTAACCTTGATTTCATTTCTTCTCCAATAAGTAAGGGACCACTTTCACGCACCTGTAATTCACATAGGGTCTGAAAATTGTTATCATCAAGCTATTAGTGATTTGGGCAAAAACTGTAAAATTGATATCCAGGAGAATACACACACACACACACACACACACACACACACACACACACTTCAGTCAAGATGTGAACTTTGTTTTCTTTGTTTTTCCCTTGAACAAAAGTTCTAAGGGAAGGCAGGGTCACAATTTGAAGATAGAAATTCTCTTTGGAGGAAAGTACCCAGGGAGGGTTTGGGGAGGAGGTAAGAGGATTGGTTTGAATCATGGCTCATCCCCCCTTTCCAGGTGCCACCTTGGTCTATTCCTTTACTCTCAGCCCACCATGCATAATAGAATAAAGAATGGTAGATTATAAAGTTACAGAGGGGGACACTCAGGGAATCTTAGATGAGGAAACAGATCCACAGAACTAATGGATTGACATAAAAGCCTGTAGCAAGCAAATGACAGCCATGTCCCATTAACTCTTTAACATCCACCATGTCTTTACAACTTTCACCACCCCCTGAGATATCACTAAATCATGGGCAGGGTTTAGAGTAGTGAAATAAAGCTAGTTTTATGCTTTAAAAAGAGAGTAGAGAGAGAGACAGAGAATAGATAGATAGATAGATAGATAGATAGATAGATAGACAGATGACAGATGATAGATGGATAGATAGATGATTGATAGATAAGTAGATAGATAGATCAATCACTCACAGATTAAGCATACCAGTTAGGAATTTTATTTGAGACCCATAGTAGAAATGATGTCAGCAGTAACTATTCAGTCATAGTAAGTACTTACAATGAGTAAATCCATGGGTCATACTGTTTTATTCTATATTATAAACATTATGCTAAGTATGTATTAGCTTGTTATGCTGCTTCCTTGCTTGCCTCTCTGTTTGCTTATCTATGACATGGGCTAAGATAATTGCCAGTACATTTTAAGCTCCAAAATCCTAATATCCTTTCTTCCCTATCCCTCTCTCTTCCTAAAAATCACCAGCCCTCCCCAGGAGCATTTCCTGAGGGTTGTGAGGAGATGGGAGGGACTTGAGTCTGCTTCGAGGTTAAGGGGAAGCTGTCCTGTAGGGCTGGCCTTGACTGGAACCAGTCTTCTTTAATCAAGACCTTGAGCAGCACATTCCATACTATGTCCTAACAGTGGGCCCAATTCCCTGATCTTCCAGTAAGTGATCCTTTCTTGGCTGGGGCTCCAGCCAATTCTTGCTTGCCCTGTCTGAAGGCCTCTGCAATGGCCTCTGACCCCTCACCAAGGTCTGTTTGCCATGAGTTTTTCTGTCCACACTTCCAGGAAATGATCAGAATTCTGTGAAGGGCCTGCCCTTGACTTCTGGTTGACCCAGAGTAGTTCTATCTGACCTGGGCAAATTGCTTCTCCTGTTGGGGCCTCAGGTTCCTCCCTTGTAAAATTAAAATTAGAGCCCTGCAGGAAACTTTCACTGTAGATCTTCTCCAAATACATAGCATTGCAAGGGTGCTAAAGATATCTAGAATAATGCAACTGGAAAGAGCACAGTCTCTCTCTCTCTCTCTCTCTCTCTCTCTCTCTCTCTCTCTCTGTGTGTGTGTGTGTGTGTGTGTGTGTGTGTGTGTGTGTGTGTGTGTGTTGCAGCCATCCCTGAAAATGCATCAGAGGTCAATGCCAAGTGTCTTCCTCTGTTGCTCTCACCTTTCTTTTTGAGATAGGGTCTCTCTAAAGACCTGGATATTGGTGATGACTGGCTAGCGGTCCCCGGGGATAATCTGGTCTCTGCCTCCCAGTGCTGAGGTCACAAACAGGATCTGGCTGCTGTGCCTAGCTTTTTACACAGGTGCTAAGGATTCTAACTCAGGTCTTCAAGCTCACACAGCAAACATGTTACCCACTTCTCCCCAGAATTGTCTCCTTTTTTTCACTACCACCATTTCTAATGAGAACAGTATGTTGTATATTGTTATCTCTCACACTGTTACCTTGCACTCACTCCTCTTTGTGTCATGAGGATTCTAGAAAGCAGGCACCATTCCCAAGCTTAGAGGGAGAATGAGCTTCATGGCCACACAGCCACACAATAGGTAGCAAGCAGCACTCACTTCACATTTCTAGGTGACAAGGCCTTGTCACATGTCACTTCCCTGGGTCCTCACCAGTGATGATTCCCACTTTTAGATGAAGAAGAGCTCACCTGACAGAGATCCCACAACTGGGAGCAAGGGTTCTCTTTCTACTATTCCTATCACTTTTCAGTCCAAGGCAGTTTTGCATTCAGGACATTCAGTAATGACTTGGGACACTTTTAGTTTTCAGGACAAGGGTGAAGCTAGCATCTAGTGTGCAGAGTCCATCGAGGCTGCTAAACAGCTGGTCACACACAGTGCAACATGCTCCTGCCAGTACGTTCTTCATTCCAGTCACCAGTATGGAGGCTGGCAAAGCCTGGTTATCTCATACGGAAATGGCCCTATCCACCCACATAGCACTACACTTGCTTTGTTAGGGATCTGCTTCCAAAGGCAACAACACCCATGTTAAAGAGTGACAGACAGAGCCAGGAAAACATACCTGAATACATTACATGGTCCTGGCTTCCTACAGTTCTGGAGACAACAAGTGAGTTGGCCAGGGCGCTTCTAGGTGCTCTCTTTACTCTGGAGTAAGGAGAGCATAGGTATTGAATCCATGTTCAGAACGATGCTTGCACTTAACACTCATATAATTCGAGGTAGTCACACCCACACTCTGAGCCCCCAGTTCCTCATCTATGAGACGGAACACTTAGTGCCATTCCCAGAATGGCTGTGAGGATCTGCCTCTCTGCAGCAGGCCTTCTAGAAGCCTCACAGCCAGTTCTTGAGTTCCAAGAAGGTGGACAGAGCCAAAGGAGAAACCCTGAGCTCTTCTTGTACCTGCAGATGCAGCCCATCCACCAACTGCTGCGGCACACAAATCTGGGGCCAATGGAGACTAAACGGCGGAACCTGCACCGGGCCTTGGACCAGTACCTGATGGAATTCAATGCCTGCCGCTGTGGGCCCTGCTTCAACAATGGGGAGCCCATACTCCAGGGCACCAGCTGCGAGTGTCAATGTAGTCAGGGTCAGAAAGGCACTGCCTGTGAGCAGAGGGCGTTGGAGGGTAAGAACCATGCATTCTGCTCTGCCCCAGCCTGGCCTGGATCTGAGAGGCTCATACAGCAGGAACCTTGGGGATTTTTTGCTCCTTTGTCTGGGTCCTCCCATTGATTGCCTTAAGAATTCACAGCCAAGGGTTTTATATCCCATGTTGTATCCCATGTTTAATCTGTTTTCCATTTTTTGTCCCTGTTATCAAGACTCTTTGTTGTCCAGGTCTGCTGGTGGGGGCACAGGGACGATTGCATCTAGAGCCTCTAGGCAGGATGTGCCCCATGCCTCCCTTGGCTTCTAGTGGTTGTCCGAAAACCTTAGAGTTGCTTGGTTTGTAGACATATCACTCCAATCTCTGCCTCCATAGTCATGAGACTTTCTTTCCCCCTTCACTGGGCTTTTCTCTCTGTAAGAATGTAGGTTGTTGGATGAGGCCCCAGCCTAATCCAGGTGTCTTTATCTTATTGTGGTTTCACAGCCAAGACCAAATTTTCAAATAAGGTTTTGCTCACAGGTAATGGGAGCTGGGAGTTGAATGTGCCTTCTGCAGGGATGCAGTGGATGCCATTACTTAAGGAGTTACTACTAGATACACAGTTGGGGCAAACAAAGGTCCAAAAGTGTATAGATTTGACATAAACCAATTCACTAACCAGCACTACGGGAGAAATTTATCAACAGCAGTAAAACTTTCCCCCTTTAGGATGAAGTCAGGTGACTCTGGCCATGAACCCTAGATATTTCATGAACTCACTCTAGGATACTGGTTAAGCACTTTTTTTCTGGGGGCTCAACTGGTTCCATCTAAATTTCTTTTGAATCTCTCTCTCTCTCTCTCTCTCTCTCTCTCTCTCTCTCTCTCTCTCTTTCTTGGGATCCAGGGCTTTATGCACACTGGATAAGTACTCTATAATGGTTCACACTCCAGCTTTCTTTTTACTTTTTATCTTGAGACAGGACCTCACTAAGTTGCCCAGGGAGGCCTTGAACCTGTGACCTACCACCTCATCTTCCCCAAAAGTTGGGGACAGAAGAACATGTACACAGAACAGAGGGCGTCTGCATGGACAAATCAAAGGGCAGTGTGTCCATAATTGGCTGAGCAGCCATACATAGACAATAAACAAAGCATGTAGCCCTCTGACTCAAGGGGGACTTGACACATCTGTCCCCAGAGTAAAGGGCTAGGCTAAGAGAAATAAAGAGCGAGAGTGTATTCTTCTGATGCATCAGAAGCTTCATCCATTCCCATGTGCTTTATCAAATGTTGCTGAAGCAAAATGGGGACACTATAGTGTAAGAGGAAGAGTGGGAAGGACTGGAAATTGTTGGCACCGAGAAGACTCAGGAGGGGCAAGAGTCCCAGGAACTATCATGCAGGGAGGGATGAGATTTGCTTTTGCATGGCCATTGAGATCAAAGTTCAGGACCAGAGGGATGCTGGCAATGAGGGAGGATTTTCTTCCAGATCCACTGTGGCATGTGTGACGTGAAGGGCACGACCATGTAGAAAGTCACAGATGGGATGGTAAGGCTGCCTCTCAGAGGCTTCCACCTAAGAGTTGCTGGGCTTCTGACTTAGACGAAGGAAGGACAGCATAAAGAGGAGCTGCTGGTCTGAAGCTGAAAACAGTCCAGGTCCCCTGGCTGGGAAGAACCCAAGACAGCAATTTCCTTACTAGTCAGAGGTGACCCCCTAGATGATCTGGTTTTAAGATAATAGTGGGTTATCATCCCCCTCGCTGAGAGAGACTCTCCAGGTGGGAGCACAACTCCGAGGTCAAACATGCTTCTGAATCAAGTGTCACCGAGTCTCGTGTTAGCACACGCTATAAAATGAAATTATAGTGGTATGCTCCTCATATGCTATGTTGAAGATTCAACCAGCTAAAACACATGGCAGATTCCATGCCAGCAGGCAGAAGGATGAGGCTGGTACATGCCAGATACTCTACGGACAAAGTGTACCTAGGGTAGTCCCTTCTCTGCTCAAGAACAAACAGTTTAGGTCTCAAATTGCTGTTTCCTCTCCAAAGGAGGAATTCTGAGAGGAGAGACCCAGGAGAGTGAGGGAAAAGCCAAATTTGAGAACTGTGGGTACAGAGAATAAAAACTACCACCACTAACTACCTGCTCCAAGGAGTTGGAGCCAGCCACTGCCTGCCTAACTATTTGGGAATTGGTGAATTGTGGATTAGGGTGGGGGAGATAAAGATACTCTAGCTTGAGATAGCCCAGCTCCAGAGTTCAGGGAAGGGACCCTCTGATTTCACCATCAGAGTATGTACTAGATTGAAGCCCCTTCAGCTAGGCAACTTTCCCAAAGGGTCCAAAGGGGACTTGATGGAAATAATGGCTCTTCATTCCAAGTCTGCATCATGGCAGCACATCTTTGTGTGCAAGCCTAATCATTACCACATGATCCTTAGGCGATAAATGCTCTTGTTAACATCATTTACTGATGAAGGGCCCTGGTCCAGGAGGAATGTTGGATAACTTGCTGAACTTGCCCTTGGTTGAAGAAGGGAGGAGCAGGGAGCTGGACCATGGGAGTCTGATGCCAGGACCCCAAGGTCTTGACTTAATGTTCACTACTGAGTCTGTCTCCCAAAGCTGTGAATGAGAGTACAGATTCTGAGACAATTTCAGTAACAATCACTAAGGGAGTATGGAGGAAGCATGGGCTAACCAGTTTGTGGATTTCATCCTAGCCTGACTTCAAGACCCAAGTGTGACTCTTGGCTTACCTATTCTAATCATTCCCTATCTAGGGCTTGGTCCACACAGCAAAGAGATAAAGAGAAGAGGGATCACTTAGACACATCTCTTGCAGGGTAAAGGCCAGGCTCTCATGCTGAGTCTTATACTATGGGTTGTGGAGGAAGAGCAAGATGCCAGTGATCTGGGTGACAGTCAGGGACAAGTTGCTGCATCCAAGGTCTCAATCCTTCTGCATTCATTACTCTTATGTTCAGCTAACTTGCAAGGAGCTCCAACAACCCTCCAAGCAGGGTGTGGATATCTGGTGGCCCTGTGGCCACCTCACTGAACTTTCAGTCTGACAGAGATTAAACTGGCAAAGAAAACTAAGGCAGAGGAATCTGTCAGGGTCCACAGAAACCCATTAGAGTCCATAGGAGTTCCCAGCAAACCTTTGCCAGTAGGGACAGAGTCACAGAGGTGGGAGAAAGAGACTAAGAATCCTGCTGGGGCTGCCCCATCAGGGAGTATAATTACAGTGCTGGAAGGGACTTGAAGATAATCTAATCCAATGATGTTCACAGTGAGATCTGAGGAGTCCCAGGGTGCTAGGGCTTGCCCCAGGGGATGAGAGTGAGCCCAGTAGTCATCCTGGCTTCAATAGAATTGCTCTGCTTTCATCTGAATTAGATGTGGGGTTCATGGAAGATTTAATTTAGGAAAAAGAAATAGTGATAGAAAATGATGAACAACTCTCATTGGATTAGTCCATACTTCTGATATGAACCTTGGCCTTCCTGAGGGAGAGAGACTTGCAGAGGCACAGCCTGTAGAACCAGCAGCCCTGGGTGCGGCTCTGTGTGCTGGGTTTCTAGACTCAGTGCAAGCATTTGGAAGTTTTGTACAGACAATCTGCCATAACTCAGGACCCATCGCCAGACTCTGAAGGGTTTGGCTTTGGAAACCCACAAACAGAACCTCACCAATGTGCTCCAGAGATCTCTAGCTATCCCTCTGCGTTGGATCTGCAGGGTGGCCATAGTTCTAGTTCCCCACACCCTCCAGTGACTCGGACTTCTTCTCCCAGAGGAGTATGCTTCCCGCCTTGCTATGCTATCTATCTTCCATGCAACCATGGATTCCAATTTCATGAGCTGGGCTCCCAAGTGGCTTCTTCTCACTCTGTCCGGAGTTTCAAATTAACTGTGAGGCAGCAAGCACAGAGGTCTTGGTTGGCTACCCAGGGCTTTTCCCTAAGGAGGGATTGCAGAGCATTCTGGAGCATAAGGTGGCCTCCTGCCCTACACCACCAGCCAGCTGCTTCTCCTACACTAACCTCCTCCTCTGGGCCATTTTCTTGCAGGAAAATCAGATGGCCGCTGGAGCTGCTGGAGCTCCTGGTCGGAGTGCAGAGCAGGTACCCAAGAAAGGAGGAGACAGTGCAACAATCCTGCACCACAGAGAGGAGGTGCCCCGTGCCCAGGGAAGAGCGTGCACACCAGGGCCTGCTGAGTACCTCTGGATGCAGGCTGGGGAGGCTGTGGATACTGTTATCTGGCCTGGCTACTGGGTAGAACTGATTGCTGCTCCAAGGGAATGCAACCAAGAAAGACTAATCTCTTCATATACTCATGTATGTTTTTCTTCTAGTATGAACCTCACGATACTTAGCCTCTACCAAGGTTCCAAGGCTGCCTCCCTGTTTCGGGGGGTTGCTACCCTGTACTTCTCAGAACCACCTTTCTATCTTACTAGATTAGGGATACTTAACGATAAACCTGCTACGGTTTAGACACATCAGCAATTATGCTTCATAATTCTGGGGACATAAACTGCAAGATCAAGGTTCCAGCAGCTCTAGGGTCTCAGGAGGCTGTGTTCTACTTTATATATGACATTTTGCTGTGATCTCGCATGGCAGAGGACTAGGGAGTCCCTGGGACCTCCCTAATAAAGTCACTAGTCCTACCCGTGAGAACTTTGTCTTCAAGACTTAGTCACCTCCCAAAGTCCAGCCTCCTCATGCCACACCAGGTAGAGAATATCCAGATATGAATTTAGAGAGACCCCAAAATTCTGACCCCAGCACATCTGTATTCTCCAGAAAGCAATCACATTCAGAGGCAGAAACCAGGCTGGTTTCATACAGTATAACATCTTCAGATGCCAAGGCATCACAGAACACAGGGGCCTAGTCAGCAACAGTTGCTGGGACAAATGAACAGATCAGTTCACAGATGAGGTCTGCACTGGTCAGCCTCCCAGAGCTGCAGGAGGATTTGGAAGTGTCAATCCATGGAGAACAACACCTAGTTCCTACCCTTCCTGAAAAGAGCCAATCCCAACAGCCAGCCTGGTGTCCCACGCACCCTGAACCCTGTTCATGTTCAGTTGGCACCATTGTCAACTGCCTTAGTTAGGGTTTCTACTGCTGTGATAAAACACCATGAGCAATAGCAACTTCGGAGGAAAGGGATTATTTCAGCTTACATGTCCCACTCACAGTCATCATGAAGAGAAGTTAGGGCAGAAAGTCTGAAGCGGAGGCCATAGACGGGTGCGACTCACTTCTTCTTCATGCCTTGCTCAGCCTGCTTTCTTATGCCATCCAAGATCACCTGCCCAGGAATGGCAACACCTGCATTGAACTAGACCCTCCCACATCAACCACTAATTTAAAAATACACTACAGACTTTGCTCACACGGCCAACCCGGTGGGGGCATTGTCTCAAGAGAAGTTCCCTCTTCCAAAATGTGTCAAGTTGACATAAAACTAGCTCAACCAACATCCTAGGCCTAACTTTGCCTTCTCTTCAAAGTTGGTAAAATTCATACCTACAAAGTCTTCAGAAACAGAGGGCCAACTGTATACATGAAAAAGAGGAGACTCTGGGGCCACTGGAAGTGAATTGCTAACATCAACATTTGTAGCTGGCAAATGAATGCAGAAGGAGAACAAGGGGGAGAGGGCAGTCTTCCTGAGTTGTGGATCAGAGGTGGCGTGGGCTCTACCCGGACCTGGATGGACTTTTCCATAGATCAACAGGGAGGAGACTTTTGAAAAAGAAATTCAGCCTAAGACAATGCTTGAGGGTGAGAAAAAAACACGGGGCAGGGAGGGCTTGCAAGAGTGTGTGTGTTGGGGACAGGGAGTGGGAAAGAGCAAAAACAAAGAAAATCAGGTGTATGAAGCCATCGCAGCACCTGTCATGTGGCATGTTACTAGCATCGTGATTGTTAATACCATTGATAAAACATGTGGTTCAGAGGCTTATCCAAATAAAGTTGGCTCTTCTCTCTGAAAGAATGAAAGGCTCTGTACTTGTTCTCCATCCTGTTGTTATGTGCTTTTCCCCTTCAAAATTAGTTTGCACTAATAATTAGCTTACACTGGTGAATTGGTGATTAGTAGCGGCTACATGCTAGCAAGTGACTGGGGGCCAGGTGGAAGAAGAGGCTGAGTGGGCGATGGACGAGGACTTTCAATCTTGCTCTAAACAGTTGTTCCGAGCCTCCCAACCTTGGCTGCACATAAGAATCACCTGGGGAATTTCATAAACCCTGACGTCCAGAAGCTGCATCCCAGACCAATTAAATCGGAATCACCGGGGGTAGGAGCCAGCCATCCGCAGTTTTCAGGGCTCCCTTGGCAATTCCAGGCACAGGCAAGACCGGCCACCACTGAGAGTGGAAGAGTCATTATATGCCCACAAGGCATGGGGTGTCTGACACACAGAGGGCCCAGGCAGGAAAGCTTGATCCTTGCTGTTTTATGTAGCCTTATCAAGGACCTCTCAAGGTTTGCTTTGTGAGCTCTATGCCACAGTTAAGAAAACTATGTGGCATAGGTCAGAGCTGTGGGCCAGATATTTCATGCACTACTTCAAGCGCTTGTTCCCACTGCCCCCCCCACCGGGGGTGGGGGGTGTTACACCATCTGCCATTGGAGGGTTCTGCAGGGTAGTTTGTGGTGCTCAGGACAGGGGAGGAGATGCAGCAGGAAGCCTTGCCAGGGGTCCCTGTAGTAAATCTGGGAGCAAGAGGGAAACTTCACAGAAGAGACTAAATGATCGTATGTGAGCCCCGATAGCCCAATCACCAGCTAAACACAGTACTCTTTCCCCAGAAGCCTTAGAAACTAAAATAAAGCAGCCGTGGCAACCTTTCACTCCATCTGCCTCTTTCTCTGAAGCAATTCACTCCCATAAACACATACCTCTCCCAGTACATTTCGCCCTAAGTCCTTAAGGAGACCTATAAGCCCAGTTTTATAGGGAGTGGGGTGTAGTAAACACATGGTTTAAAGTTATACTCCTCAGCTTGGCAATGTGTCTTCTGAAACGTAAATTAATGACAGAGAGGAAAGCAGTAAGGAGTGAGGCTTACTTCCTTTCTTCTCTTCAAGGAAGATCTAAAGAGTTCTGCACCCAGCGGATCTCTTCTGAGCTACTATGTCTTTAGAGGTAGAAAATGGGCTCAGAGGAAGGGCCAGCTTCAGAAACCGCACTGCAGAAACGAGAAATGCCTCCAAGAAGCTTCTGGGCTTCACAAGGACTGACACTGACTAACAATGGCATTCCACCGCTGTGAAGGCAGGCTCCACTGTCACCCCTCAGAAATGGGCAGGGAATGGGGCTCAGTCAATAAAATGCTTGACTAACACACATGAAGTCCTGAGTTCAATGTTTAGCACTCCATGTCTTAGCATTCTGCTGCTGTGAAGAGACACCCATGACCATGGCAACTATTATCAAAGAAAGCATTTAACTGGGGCTAGCTTACCGTTTCAGAGGTTTAGTTCACTGTTGTCAAGCAGGGAACATGGCAGCATGCAGGCACACAAGACAGCTGAGAGTTCTACATTTGGATCCACAGGGAGTAGGAAGAGAGAGAGAGAGCCACTGGCTTGGACTTCTGAAACCCCAAAGCCCACCCCCAGTGACACACTTCCTCCAAAAAGGCCACACCTACTCCAACAGGCCACACCTACTCCAACAAGGCCACGCCTGCTAGAACAATCCTTTCAAACAGTTCTGTACTCTAGGCATTCAAAGATATGAGCTTATTCAAATCACCACACTATATAAACTGAACTTGAGGGCTCAGGAGGAGGTATGAGCAGGAGAAACAGAAGCTCAACTATGTAGCAAGTTCAAAACCAGCTTAGGGTAGGTGCAGTTACTGTCTCAAAGAACATCTATTTTTTTTTATAATAACACAAATTTATTGTCTTAACATTGTGAGGGTCTGAAGTTTAAAAAAGGTCTCACCAATATAAATAAAGTTAACTGGTTACAATAGTTGTAATCATTTTAGCTAAGTTTTAGAACTCACCCAAGTGTCGAAATACAGAGGAATGCATAAAGAAAAGGATTTTTTCCAGCCCTGAAGAATGAAACTATGTTGTTGGAAGAAAATGGATGCAACAGCAGATAATCATATTAATTAAATTCAGTCAAAACCAAATTTCCTCTCTCGGTGGTTTCTGGATTGCACATAGATACATAAAATCATGTTTGTATATATGACGTGGAAGTAGAAGTGGGTTGACTAAAGTGGTTAGGAGTATTTGTTGCTCTTCCAGAGGACCCAAGTTTGGTTCTCATCCACTTTAGGTAGCTCACAACTGCTACACACAAATCCCCCACCCCGTAACTCCAGCTACAGGGGAATCTGATGCCCTCTTTTGGTTTCTGTGGGCATTGCACGCATGTGGTGAGAACACTCATACAAATAAAAAACCATATCTTTTTTAGTTTTTATATTTTACTTTTTAATTCATTTTACACACCAACCACAGTTCCCCCTCCCTCCCCTCCTCCCCCACTCCCCATCAACCTCCCCACCCCACCCCCCCTCCG